ATTTACTGTATACCTACTTTTTTTGTTTAACAAGGCATGTTACAGACTATAATTAAGTTTATATTTCAGAGCGACGACGACGTTACGTTGCCGCGGCGACTACCTCTAAGGGATGTCCGAAACGGGAAAAGAACAATAAAAAACCCGAAATCGTTTATGAAAATTATTGGATTATAGCCATGGTACATAACGGCGAAATGGTTACCTATATTATTTTCATGAGCGTTAGACACCTTTAGAAAGATACTATTCTTAAACGGTACAGGACCACAGTGCAGCGAAGAGAACGAAAAATTATGTCGAATAAACGCCGCGCGTTTATAATCGAGCCGTATGATTTAAAACGAATTTCGAAGTTTATGTACATATTATAGTTATAGGTGGATTATATAAGTAAGGTATTTTATATACCTATAAGTATTTTTTAGGCGCCAACAAAACTATCGTTTGGTTTCCGAACCACTGAATATACATCGAATTAATGAATACTATAAGTGGCCGATATCATCACAACCCTTTTTCCCTCTTACAAACGTTATCGCTACATCTTCATTGGGAAATAACATTTACACCGTCAAGTCAATATAAATAGTCGAACTGAGGGTAAAAATGTCCGTCCTTGCAGTATACTTCTTTGGCCACCCCGCCGTGTTGGAAATGCGTTAATCATCAACCGTAGGTACATATATGCGCCCAAATACTATTACAGGTAGATATGTTATAAAAAAAATATACTCTCTATCCACACTAAAAAAACAACAAATAAGAAAAAAATAACGGACGGAATACACAGAGCGTGGGTGTGAACGTCTAGCTATACACTCTCACCTCACTGCTGCTAAACCAGCGTTATATAATTGTTATAAGACATTCGGAAGTACCTAATAACAAAATATCGTTTCATATACAGGCACTCTGAAAATAATTATTTATTTTTTTAGTAAACTTGTGGAATTTAATACTACTTTATTGTTTGGAGAACTAGTGAAAAATATTTTTGAGTTGTTGAGACTTATATATAAACACCATAGCAGTATTGTGAACGACAATTGGAAAATTAAAAACTGGTCTACCTAAAATATTAAGCACTTAGTACATAATTACAAAATACAATGTACCAATTTTCTACAAAAACGTGCAGTCGATTTTTCTCCCATCCCTAAGGACAGGCATTTCCATCAGTTCTATAATAGAAAATCAATTGTTATAGAACGTCTATAACAATTGATTGTAAGATAAAATAAAATAACGTAACGTATTATTTTGTTGAATTATTTATAAAAAAAAAATAAAGGCTACGTTAAAGCATACGCAGAAATAGAAAATCGACACAAAAAACCACTGAATTCAATAAATGCACCTAAGTTTGAAATAAAATAGTATAATATTTAAGACATTTGCTCTTATACAATTTTAACTTAACAATTATTTGAATGCCTAAGAAACCTCATGAAAAAACCTTTTATGTATTACGTAAGACAAAAAAAAAAACATTTTAATTTTAAAAAATATTAAAATATTATTTTTAAGTTAAATTAACTCTTAAATCTTTTATACAAATTAAAAATATATATAAACGTAAAAAAATAAAATTCTCAAATCTTATAACCTTCTTTAGTATATATTATATTCTTGAAATTATTCTAAAGTAGGTAATAACTATATAAATTACCTATCTATACATTTTGTTATCAAACAAGAATCATAGAAGAATATTATAATACACAATAACTTGCACAACAAATATCATATAATAGACGAGTGGACGAGTGGTAGTAATCCTACGCGAGAATCATATTAAAATTATTATTATCCAATACTATATGCAGGTTTTATAGAACGAGACGAAATAAATCATGTGAATCATATGATTCCGAGAAGTTATTTAATCCATAAAAGAGCGAAAATTATATGGGGCATTGACTAATTATGATCTAGCATCGTAGCCTATCATTAGGATCGGTCATTATTTATTAATATACAAAGAGTGCCTTTTGTATTGTTTCTATAACTCTCTCTCTTTCTCTCTCTGTAGGAAAATAATATACGTATACAAGTATTATAATATGACTTACGTAAGGTGGGGGGAGGCAAGTAAATTTTGTTCTTCATCGCCGTATATTCTATATACACACTACTCCTCATTCAACAAACTGATAATTACTACACAAAAGTTCCCGGAACCGAATCATAAACAATTGCACACTCCTATGTTATTATATACACGTGTAACATGGTTTTTTATGGTTGTCTGGTTAAAAAACAAAAACAATATGCATTCATTCTTTATTTGATACAAGTGAATTAGTTATACATGCCTAATTTAAAAATACTCATACAGGTGTGCTACTTATAAAGTGTTGCTAACAGGTGAAGGATACGATTAACGTCCTTATAAAAGATGTTCTTAATTCGATAAAAAAAAAAACATTAAGTATGTTTGGAATGTTTATGTGTGCTCAAGTTCTACGACGATTAAACACAGAAAAAACCTATTGTAATTTTATTAAAATACCACATCCGGCTTTTTAAACACTTGTCGAAACCATAAATCCTATAAAAAGTACAGCTGTTGAATAGTACACATATTTATTCTAAGTACATAAATCGTATTCGTCCTCGGAAAAAAATAAAATAAATTAATTTATGCATAATATGGATGTGTATTGTACTTTCTACCTATGTATAACGGAAAGTTAAAGCTTAAATTGAATTGAAAACCTTTTTACCATATTTTACAATTGTGAATAATAATATACAGGAGTTATCAATACGATCTACAACATGAATTCTACACTGAGAGTTGAAACTAAAAAGTACAAATGAAATTATGTACAATTCTATAGAGGTATTGTATATTATAACGTATAATATACTCTGAGCGTTGGTTTGTTTAATTGTAATTCCTTATTAGAAGAAAAATACTAATCATTTCGATAGCAGTAAGTAGTATAAATTTTATCCAATAAATCTGTAGTGTGCAGTACAGTACACACAGTATAGACATACTACAGTGATGGGCAATATCGAATAATTCACACTATCGAATATCTATTTTTAAATAACCAATTAATAGTTTTTCAATAAAAACTATCGGCTATAGTCTGATAAACCCACCGATATATAGAATAAACTAGATTGCTAAATGAGAATTGCGATACAGCACCTGTCCTGTATAATTGGTTAAAGCTACTGGCCGCCATTTTATTCCATGCCAATATTCGTTATCACTCGTGTTTATGAGATAACATTAAATAATTTGTATTAGTAAAAAATAATCTACGTTTATTATCAACATTAAATAGGTGTGATAAGACCCCATTGGCCTCTTTTTGAATGGCGGATGGTAGCTTCACGTATTATCACAGTTAGCATTCTAGTTTTTTCTATATATCTGAGAATAAACCACTGAATAGTTTGATAGGTGGGGACTTATTCGACAATTTACACCACTAGTAGTAGGTACCTACAATATAATATAAATAAAACAGTCAGTAAAACGTGTAAATATCGTTTTAATATCAATTAAATATACTCACCAACATCGTTTATCATATTTTGAGGGTATTTTTTAGGTAACTAAGTGATTATTTATTACAATCCTGAATGCAAATGACAAAAAAATCAAAGTCGTTTTTGTTTAATAAAACGTGTTTACAATCTGTTTGTAACGAGTTAAGCAATACAAACAATATTTTAACGGTATATGTTGGTATGAGTATTTATTTTATATATAAATATAATACTAAGTATACAAGTATTTGATATATATATTATTATATATATTCTAATTACAAACACAGGAATAAGTATAGCTGCAGCCGTCATTCGGTATTATACTAAACCTTTCTGAGGTGGTATGCAAATTCAGGTATTGGAACGTATTTGAATGGTAATTTCAAAACAAATTTTTAAAGATACATAAATAATACGACTAATTTACTATATGAATAGGTTGCAGCAGATAGCATCGTATTGTATACGGATACAACATGATTGTATATTATTACTGTTTATATTAAAAAAATAAAATAATAGTCGTTGTGCAAAATAACATTCGCATAAATGAGATTTCGTAAAAACAACATCGAACGACGAGTGCCACGGAATATATACGAGTGTTACACAAAAGAGCAAATAAACAGCGTGTAAAGGCTGGAGCAGGTATGTATTAAGCACGACGTGATGTAATTGTTTTCGGAATATAATAATATGTATTACAATATGAGCGCATTCATGTCGAATGACCCGCAACAGATACATATATTATATAACGAATAATATTATCATGACTCCATCTGAACTATGATGACGCAAAATCTGAGACATTGTTGGAATAGTCTATACTGTATAATCGAACGTGTCCTGACTGATCAACGTAGAGCTCCTAAACTATGAAAGCTAGAAACTTGACATTCTGACGGTAATTTCGTACCACACCATGTAGTGCTGCAGCGGCGCACTAATATATTTTTTTCCAAAATTCACATTTTAAACAAGTTACACAGTCACACAAAGATTTTAAGATCTTCGACGGAAATCAATGTTTGTTTTTTTTACAAATGATAATGGTCTTTACCATTTTTAAAAATGGTTTTACAAAAATTTAAAATAGACATAATATTGGAACTAATATTTATTATCTTGCACTATTTAATGTTGATAGATTAATTAATATTAATGACTAAAATGTTCAAACCACCATATCCCCCATATGTTATAACCCCATATCTCACTAATAACTCAAAAACTTTTGATTTGGATTTTTGATTGAATTTTTATTCTAATACGTCAAGTATTCTAGACAAATTACAGTTGAAAAGGGGGTTCTCGCAAAAAAAAAAACAAAAGTTTGGATTTCCACAGGGCACTCCTTAAGTAGTACAACAAATCTTAAACATTTGAAAATATAGACTTTAAGTATATTTAAAAATTTCGAAAACCAGATTTTAAACAACTGCATTATTGAAGAAAAAAGGGGTGAACATGCTCGGCGAATCACCCTGTTAAATACAAGCATCAAGTCCTCTTAAAAACAGTCACAACACTACTGCAAATAAAAAACTACTGAGCGCGGTGTAATGAAATATCGTATAGGCGTGGACATTGTGTTTAGCGTCATCTTCGTCGTCGTCGTCTTTGCCAGATACGATCGGCTACAAAATGATGAGATCTGCCGATGTCGATCCGCGTGACAGTAGCCGTTTACCTCCTATAATATATTGTTATAATAATATTATAATATGCGCACTGTATATTATTGTTACTATTACTATTATCCTATAATATGGGTGCTGCCACGCCGCCGTCCGTCGCTCGTTTGTACCTGCCGATCAGATATAATGTACCTACCTGTCTAATAACAATATATGTTTATGAAACTGCAGCTACAGTGTACAGTGTACCAAGGGTATAGAGTGGCGAATATCGATGAGCTCGTGAACGCCGAGATGTTTTATGGACGGCGACGATCTATAAATAAATAAATGGGCTGATAGTGGTGAGAGAGAGTGGGAGGGGACAACATTGTTAGAAAATGATAGTACACAACTCACAGTCGATCTATATAATATATGCCCATTAATAGTGAGAGACGGAAAAACGTTTAACAACGCAGAGATAACAACAACTTTTTTAGTAGAAAATAGCGCATACATAAACGCTTTAGGTCCCATCATATTAGCAGCAGGTATTGATTAAATATGTTTTTCTCTAACAATGTGCAGGGCACTTGACCTATTATAGCGGGGTACGTGATGCAGTCCGCAATAATATATAAATATAATATGTACCTACATGACGAAGACAAATAACTCAAAGATCATAAGATCAAATGAAGAAACGAGTAGACCACAGAATATGAAGTCCAACAAATTGCAAAAGAAGCCCTGAATCGAGAATCTCGAGCTGGAAATAGAGACCCGACCCTTAGACAGCGACGGTCTCGAAAGACCTAATTAATTAATACTAGGAGTGTAAAATTGTCTACGAGGAGGTAGCTTTATATATCTGTCTATATAACTTATTGGATAGAGCATAGATGGAGTGATAGAGAGATGCGAAGAAGTGTGTAAATGGGCCTAAACAAACAGCCTCGGCGAAGCAGACGAGGGAAACAAAAATGACGACGACAAGAGAGGCGGCGAAAACTAAACGTAGGAAACCCATTACAAAACGCGTACCCATATATGTGACACACGGCGTGAAAAGCGTCCTAGTCCAATTATTGTTTTTCGGAGCGTTTTTCGTAATTTCGTTCGGGCGGGGCCCCGAAAAGCCGAATATTCCAGCTATTTGGGCGTACCTACCTAAATAAGATTAGATATACATGCAGTCGAGCATTATACTGTACACAACACGTCACGGGGCCACCTGCACGCCACACGTATCCAAATGAAGAGGACGACGGGGCACGTTGTTTGTTAACGCGTGTAAATCCCGTGTTTGTTGATTATCAGATCGGGAAACCGGATAAATTATTTATGTTCGGTTTTTCATCAGCGAGTGCTGGATATATACACTGGTGGAAGAAGCGACATGCTGCAGTATAAAGTAGGTACCTGTATAGTTATTGAAAAAAGTATCCCGAAAAAAAAAACCGATTTTATTAAACGCAGACAAACCGATGAGTGCGTAGCGTTATCTCCGTCGGTAATCTAGACATAGGCAGAGGAGGAGGAAAAAAACACAACGCGCACAAGTAGTTCTGGACAATGGATCTAAAAAAAGTTAAACCTATATAGGCAATTAAATTTTACGACGAAAGTGGTGTGTCCGATTTTTTTTCAGCGGCTCCTTATCGTCTCACGGAATCGGTACGACCGGCGTGTATTTAATAATAATATAAAGAACGGAGATTTGAATCGGCGGACTATCATTTTTTCTCTCTCGTTTTTCGTTTACGAAATTCCCTAATGGAAAACCGCACGATCGTGTCGTCGTTACCGCGTTGGTACCTACATAGGAACCAAGCAGCGCGATCGACTCGAACGGAGATCCTCGCATGGCGATCTATCGGGAAACCCTCACTGGTTAGCACCAATGCAGCTTATATATCGGTATACTGCATCCAAGCTCTTTGCGAACGACATACTTATTGCAGACCTCAAAACGATATGTATTAAACATATTATGTACCCCTGCAACGTGCATCGTACCTACGTATCTATACGTGCAACGAGAAAATTTCGAATATTTAGAGTGATATTGAAACGAATATAATATATAAGAAAGAAATAGACCATTCCGTATATTATAATAAAGGGTTCCGAATGCGAAATATTTCAAAATTGAAACCGTCACTCTTCTTGAAATATTTATTTATTATATTAGACAAGTGTTATGTAACAAGCGAATCGAAAATGTTTTCCTAAATTCCTGCTAGATATTAAAATATATATTCCAAGATACAGCGGCAATTTAGAATAAGTATCATTATTCAATTATAAATATTGTAGGCACGTAATTATATTGCATATAATATATATTATACCTAAATAGACGACGAGGACAAAATAATTTAGCTGTTTACCAATTATAAACCAATAAAATGTAGTACTAAATAGTAAAAAAAAGCCCAAGAAAACATGTTTGTGGCCAGTGGGTTAAACATATATATAATATAATCACTTATAATAACACTTCAATAAAACTTTACCTAATTCTGAAACTATCAAAAATAAACGTTAATTTCAAGCCACAGGAAGTCAAAATAATTGCATGAGTTTAGATCATTATTCATTCAACTTATGGTTAGATATTATAATATAGTATACATAATATTATTATATTTAACCTTTCGACTTCTAAAATATAAGATCCCCACTGAGCCGTGTGCAGTATAAACGAAATCGTTTAATTCATAAATTGTATTTTACAATCGTCTAAAAACGTCACGTTAACAACAAATATTATATGAAATTCCACCAAAACTTAATCATCCGCGCACATAAAAATTATTTGATATTTTTACTATTATAATTTTTATCTTTACATAGGGAACGTTTCCGTTCCACATCATCATCATCATTGATTAATATATTATAATGGGACATAAAAATCGAGAAAAATCAAGGAGGAGTATCGCAAACCTATAGTGACCACCGTTGATGAAGCTGTTTAAAAACTTTATAGAAAACAAGCCATAACAACATCGTCGTCATATATATACATTCATACCGCAACATATAATATTATATGTTTTTTAACATAACTGCACTAAACGTCTCTACAAGGAGCTTTCTAATTAATATAACACAAAAAAATTATCTGATAATCCTGCAAACGTTAATTGACTCGTTATAATCTTTAGATATTTTCTTAAGATGATTGCATTTAATACAATTTTATATGAAACGATGGAGCTGGTTCTTATCCAGTACCTACACCATCGGCAACAGGCATCATTCAAAGACTATAAATAAATAATAATATGCATGTATTAATTGTACATACCTATTATGTGACGCGGCTGAATGCAAAATATGAATTAAAAACACTAATTATACTACATATTACTATCTCGAGTAATGATGAGTTTAAAGTAATTACATTTATATATTAAATGGTGTTATCTATATTCTATAATATTACGATGATAATATCAAATAATATGCATTTAAAAATTATACATCAACTCCTGCCGTCTTTTCATAGCTACATTACATCTTTGATATTATAATTATACACATTATATTGCAAAAGTGTACTGAAAGACCTACTTACACCGTGTCATGTCAATATAGAGTTGTCAAGCGAATAACAATTTACGTTTTTAATTATTTAATGTTATCTTACTATAAAAACAACTTTGTTTTAAATTTTAATTTTAAAACAAAACGTAAGTGAAATTGGCAACGCAATTTAATGGGCAAGTAATAATGCGTATCCACATGCATACGTAAATTATTATAACGTAAAGTCAACACAAGCGAACCCGAAAATACCTGTTAGAGATGTTTAAAATATATGTATATTGTATATTGTATATAAATATGTAATGACCGTGTACGTATAGTAACAACACGTTTACACCTACACATCGCACGATGCAAATTAAAAAACGATGAGGAAAAAAACACGAAAAAATAATAGGAAATCTAGGAACCTCCCAAATAGTGATAAAATGTAAGTTGAAATTCCGTTGTAAGCATAATATATACATATGGGTGATTAAAACGACAACAAAAAAACGGAGCAATTGCCTACAAAATCGGATATAACGACTACTGCAGCAGTGTTGTCGTGCACGGCCTGCAACATAATATACACAATACTCCAATAATATTGTAATATATTTTATATAGGTACACGGCAGCGGCGGCTGTTGAAAAGCAGTTAACCCGATGTACCTATAATAATATAATAGTAATAATATTATTATTATTATTATTATATTATATATTCCGGTATAATCGGACCTATTGGACCGGGTCGTTAAGAGTGTTAATGGATTGTCGTGTGCGCGGTGGTTGTCGATGGCGGCTCCCGAGGCCGAATCGTTTAATCATTCGGTATGATATACGGAGAGAATAATAAAATGTACTCGGCGCACCAACACACAACCGTTCACTTTATATTATTAAGTAGGTATTGGAACTAACGAATAACTATTATTATTATTATTATTACTATTATTATATTACGATCGTTTACGCGCCGAGATAATAATAATAATAATAATATTACCACGTCGGTTGGCCGCGATTGTGTCGCAGTGGCCGGTGATCGATGACTGGTTAATAAACTTCTGTTAATAGGATATTTCGGGCGCTGGTGATTTTGCTCTTAATTGCCCTCCGGTAGAAGGCACACGCGTCATGACGTATAGAGAGGTATATACGTATGCATATAATGTACAACATTAAGTGGTGTTTGACGGTGTGAAACGACGAGAAAAAAAATAAGTCGTAATAATCTGTACAATAATAATGTGTGTACGGTGTACCGTGTACCTACATGGAAATGATGAATTTCGTAGCCACCGCCCGCCATTAATATCATTGTATAGTATGTATCGTACTGCAGTTGACGGGCTCGTGTTTTGCCAAGTTGCAATGTAGGAACACAATTTGAATTCCGATTTAACGGACTCGACAAATTCGTGACGCGATGCGACGGTTTGAATCTTTTCGGTTAACTTCCGGCCCAAATGTCTGTATAACGATATTATATCGTATAATATTCTATAATAGAACATACACTGTCGTAAGT